GGGGGGGGGGGGGGGGGGGGGGGGGGGGGGGGGGGGGGGGGGGGGGGGGGGGGGGGGGGGGGGGGGGGGGGGGGGGGGGGGGGGGGGGGGGGGGTGAAAAGCTGGGGAGTTCCATCAGTGTATACATCACAAGGCCCAAGCATGATTCATACAGATTGCCCAATAACATTAGTTTGAAAGGAGGAAGGGGGGGAGACAGAGAGAGAGAAGGAATATTATTTGTATGAAATATGGCCATGTAAGTATTTCTTTAGTTCTAAAATAAGTCACGCCCACCAACCAGAACAGAGTTACATAAGCACAAGGAACTTTATCGCAACTTGCCTAGTTTTAAGAATTTTTTTCCCAAAAGGAATCAAATCAGTTGGAAATAATATGAAAAGCTGGATATTAGACTGATACCAAAACAATGCGGGTGTTAATCACTACAAAGTTTATACCTCCCAGAAAATACTAATAGTTCGGCTGCCCTCTGTGTAACCACCTGTATATCGTGTATTATTCCTCAAATCATCAACGTCAATGTCGTGGTTTCCACCAGAAAGCAACTACAGAATGGAATTTATATTAGGGAAAAAAAATTTAACAAGACAAAAATGAGAAAAAAAAATTGCATTTAACCATAGTAAAGATAAGAATGCGGATGTTCACAAATTTAAACCATTTAAAAATTATATAGTTCTACTACCAGTTCCACCCAAATGAAATCCTCTGAGGTATTCTAAGAACCAGCAAGTTGTAAAGAACTGGTTAGTGCGAGTATACAAAACAATGGAAACTTATTTGAACCTCTTTCACCCGCCTTATTCAATTATTATACTTTTTGCCATCTTGCGTAATAATCAATTTGGTTGCTTATTCAGCACATATCTTATTGTACCACTATTGATCATTTATCTAATCAATATACTATGTCTTTCTTTGGTGATGAAACAAAGATTTAAGGATTACCAACTAATCGATGTTAGTATTTCAAAAAAAAATCCAAAGATAGACCAGGAAATAGAGGTTATGCAGGCCGTGATCCATCTTCTACTAGAGCCTTTTCTTTCTCCCATACTGCTTTTAAGAATTGTCAATTGACCAAGTACCAAGTCGTGGGCACTTTCACGGCCTAAGCACTCAACCTAGCTTCTATTTGTTTCGCCACTCATGTGCTGCTTCATTTGCAATGACGAAAGCATCAGGGATTTCTCGGTTACCAACTGGTAAAAGGATATAGTCATGGGGAGGATATTTACAGCCTTCCTGTAAAATCTATTGCAATAACTTCAATTTGTTCCACTCACTTATGGAGAAGGCTGTAATTTTCTTAGGAACCAATCAAATATCACAACCAAGTCATACTTCATGGTTTCCGGAGTTTTTTTTGCTTGTTTTTTTACGGAAATTTTCCATGAAGCCATGCAGACTGGAGACTAAGGACTCCCAAAACTTTTAACAGCCCAAAGATCCCATCATCAATAAAAGGTCATTCATACCATTCCTTATTAGCCTGAAATATAGAAGACCCCTTGGAGGTCCTCACATATAAAATTTCCACATTAGTATGAGCTTTTAAAAGTTAAGGAATCACATGCCTTGCTTAGGTTAGCTAACAATCCAGGATGCCAAGTCTATAGTGAAGAGCATAAATAATGCACATCGATTAACAAGAGCAATGATATATACCTGATTGAATTCACTTGCACTAAATAACTTCAACCACGACGGTGATACAAGATCAGTCAAACCCCTATAGAATGCGTTTGAAAAAGGCAGTATCTGCAATTTAACAGGGAATGAACATAAATTTGAACCAAAACAATTATCTTTGCAGAGCATAAAATAAGAATCACGGCTGAACTTTATTTGAGTTGCAAGAATACTTTATTTCCTAAAGAAATCACAAACATAGGTCAGGTCCACTTCTCTCATAAGCAACATTACCACCAGACATGAAATATCGCCAAGAAAGGAAAAAATTACATGATGAACAACCAATGACCTGTCGATTAAGTTTATAATCAGCAATGGCGTGAACATACTGCATCTTATTCTCATTTGTAACAGAAACATCCTTGCCACCATGTATAAGCTCAATAACATGTCGCTTGCCAAATGATTCTTCAGTAACAGTGAAATCCAGCGAGAGTTCTTTGACATCGCCCTCATAAGACTGCCATAAGAAGAGCCATAACAATTAAAGGTCATAAAACTATTATTACAAAAATAAATATGCAACTTTGCGTAGTTCATCAATTACCTTAAACAAAAAAGGGCCTAAAGAATCAAAGAAATTAAAAAATATCTTACCCAAGGCTTAAAAAAACCAATCAAGAACGGACATTATCTCAGTTATTGCATATAAAAAATTGGCATTGTCCAATTTAGTCATGTACGTGCTCTTCTCACCTCATATTCTTCTGAAGAGATTAACCAACTTTAAACTAATAACCCAATCTTCAAACTCTAACCTCACTTGGAAGAGAGAAAACCTTAACTTTCAAACGAAAATTTAAAACTTAAGGGACTCTTATACCATGTAATAAGTATTGGAAAAAGACTCAAACATATTTTAGATTAGAGTAAGATATATATAAGTACACGAGAAAATCTTAAACTAAAGAATGTACAATTACTATAATTACTATAAAGAAAAACCATGCATAATAACATATATATTATTAAAAATGAGATGTGCTTTTAAGTAGCTTCCCATCATATAGAACCGTCTGCCTGTCATCTTGGTGAGGTTCACATGGACTTGATGACCTGGGTCTCAATCAATTATCATGAACAACTGCATGTTCATCGAATAGCCGTAATCCAACCGAGGAACTAGATAATGTAATAAGAAAATTCTGAAGAATGTCTCTGAAGCTGTCCTGACATCACCATAAAATTTAATGCTTATCTCACAGTCAGTCACTTCCAGCCCACAATGAATCATCACACCGCATTTTTAACTCCTAATCCTCCAGATCCACCTCAGCATCTACCAAACCAGTCTACTCAATGCTTTGTTTATTGACTCAAACTAGCGTAATTTCTTAGGGAAAGCATATGCCTTTCACGAATCTTTCCATTCTGACCACGTGGAAGATATTCAATCATTTCACTTCAGGAAAAAAACTTATAATAAAAGAGACAGGAGGATAAAGAAAGCCAGTAATACTAGTAGGTAGTCATTAGGAAACATCATATCGTAATATTGTAGTTTTGGCTTGACCTTGTGAGTATGAAGAATTTACCTTGACATACATGAGATTCCGGTATAGTTCTGGATCAAGTGTCGATAACTCGTCAAGGAAGCTATACCGGCCTAACAACTTGTGAACAAAAACATGCGAAAATGAGTAATCAAGCAATATTCCTTCATAGAGAGCCTTCCCAACAACTCTACCAAGAAACTCGATCATCTGGATGCCATTGTCGAGATATCTTGCTGATGCATTAGGGATAAGAAGCCTATCTTCAGTAGACGTTTGACAGAACAGCCCATATCTAAAAGGAAAAATAAACAAGACAGAGATTATTGGAGGCCTTAAAAGAAAGACCACAATGATTCTATGTAGTTTGTGTAACTTACTCAGGAGAAAATGCTGCTTTGGCTATATCAGTTAAAAACTCTTTGGATAATCCACCACAGTCTTGGCCAGCCTCGGGAAGGCCACATTCACTAACGAATGAAACATGAATAGCTGATTTTAGCCTTGACCCAAGGGAATTTAACTGTCTGAATCCATCTTCAATAACATGGCTGCGACGAACTACAATTTCAAATGATCGTGACCCAGGTCCACCAACTTCACCTGCCATTTTTCGGGAGACTTTGTCCATCTTGACAAACTCTCTGAACATTTCAACTCTGCCAGGAAAAAAAAAAAAAAAAAACGGAAAATGAAAAGCCTTTGATATGGAAAGACAAATTTTGAGATTTCTTTATGGATGTATAAGTGCTTATATGTTCCAATGCGCACCAAACACAGAAGAACATCATGGTTTAATCAAAGTCCTGAAGAAAATTTTGTACCACTGGCTTTGGAGAGAGGGAAGGACAGAGTTTCTAAAATAAAATTTTCTTTAAAAGGAACATTGACGAGAAAAAAATATAACATTAAACTAGAAAATGTAAAATGTAAAATGTAAATGATGAGTGGAATTTATACAATCAACAAGATAACTTTTAGCTTTTACTTAGCTTGAAGTTGGTTTCAGATTTCTTGGAATAGAATTTAATTTTTTATGAAAGATATAATAAAAGCTGAGAATGGTAAAACGATAGGTAGTGAAGAATGCTCTCATGGAAAATGGTTTATGCAATCCAGTAGAGAAAAAACTTCATGCCAACCACCAGGGGAAAAAATAACTTGGTATCAGATATGAAGAACGCAACATTCCAATGCGATCATATGGAGACCAAACCAATTACAATGACCAGTCAGTTCTATCGCCCTACATGCATCTATTTCTGATGCTTATATGTCCAATCCTCTCTGCCCATGCTCATATAAAGAAACTGGATGAAAAAGTAAGCACTCAATGCTCTCAACAACCATGAACAGTACTCCAAATGCACAATATCAAGCTTTATACTTTTACACGTTGGGTAGCAACTGAAGGGAACATAACATTTCCTATTGATAACTTGTAAACATCATCTCCTTCTACGGGGGATCACCAAGATGATGTTGCTTGATACATATTTGAGGGTTTTGAAGATTCACGATAGTAAAGTAACCACATCAAACAAGATTGGATTTTTCTTATAAGAAGCAAACAGGAAATATTAATTAAGCTGAGGTGGCGGCAAATCCAGATCAATGAGAGTAGCAAAGCTGCATATTAAAAAGGAAATAGCCAGTTTAGTTAGCAGTCTGATTCTCACCTTTCCTCAAATGGGAACACATGCGGTGTGGTAGCTATAATCGAACCTACAGTTGGAACTGTTAAACTATCATCTGCCCGTAAGTTAGCTAATAAAGCTTCGTGAGTTCTTGCAGCAACTGCAACAGGTGGTCTACTTGTTCTAGCAGGTGCAAGCCATAGCATAGGAGGACAAAACTGGTGTCTGCAATCTCTCTCATACATCAGATGCAAGCACCTGATTGCAGATTCCATAAGGGATGTGTTCTGCTGACCAGTACCATGGGACAAGCCATTATACACAAGTGTATTAAGCATTGATGCAAGTTTCCTTTGCTGCTCCAGCCTGAACGGAACCTAGTCCACATAATGAAGTTTACAAATAAGGCATCACATTTGAAAAAATCATACAATGGAGGGAGAGATGAAATATCTTGCCTGTTTTTCATAGAACTCTATGTCGTCTAGAACTAACAGCAGATGAGCATAAGTGGCACTGAAAAGATAGAGCAGACATGACAAATCTTTTGAAATACCTTGTGGACCACATCTCAGAGATTTTATGTCCCATAAATCACGCAAGTCATCATCCCCTTGTCTTGAACTAGATTGAACCTTAACTGAGTCCATATGATCACTGCCCAGTTGTGACTTGCTCGTGAACTTATGAAAGACAGTTACCCTCTTACTATTTCCATCCCTGTTGACTTGCTTTGGCTTTTTGCCAAAAACTTCATCTTTCTTTTTACTTGATATTTTACTTGAGCCAGGAAAGGGACCTTCAGCTTCATCGGCATCACTGGGGAAAAGGGAACTTTCTAAAACTCCCCACAAATCAACAAGAAACCCAGGAGTAAAAGATAACATGTTAAGAACAGGTAAGGATCCAACTGGTGGATTCAAAAGTGAAAATAATCTGAGCATGTACATGTAAAAGTATGATATATCGATCAGTTTCAAGCTTTTCATACAGTCTATATTATTTGACTGTGCAGTACTTTTTTCGGAGTGAAGATCTGTATTTACTATTGTCAAAAGATCGGTGAGATGCCTCTGTTCACAAATAGGCCTAAACATATCAATGGGCAATGTGCTTAAGGGCATGGATGCCATTTCATTCTTGAGAACAGCTGCATCAGAGGGTTCATAAGAAGTTAAATTTTCACTTTGGATATCTTGATTCTCCTTTCTACCACACCCAAAATCCCCAATCAAAGCCAAAAGTCTTTCTGCCAAAGTGATACCCACACGAACATATAACACATAATCTAAACTCTGCTTGAACCAACCAGAATCCCTGGCCTTAGTTTCAGTCCCTGCTGCCAGACATATAATGTTTGCAAGAGCCCATCCAACTGCCGGAACAACCTTAGAGCCACAATCAACTGATAACCGATCCAGGTCAGACATTCCCAATAAAATTGTCTCTTTCTTGGCCTGCCATCAACTGCCACAATTCAATCAGTGCCAAATCAAGATGTTATTGTAAATGTAATCTCTTTGATACTAAAAGGTAACAATTGTTAATTTATCAACTCACTATAACCAAAATGAAATTTTTTTACACAATGAAATTCTATTAAAATTATTTAGATAGGTACTCGTTATCCAAGCTGCAAAATCAAGAAAATGAATGCATCTATATTTGCCAAAAATTCAGAAAGAAGTAACGCATTTTTTTTCATAATTCCTAAACTTGAGCAAACAAAGTAATTAAATAACCAACAGATACATAATATACAAGTATCATTGGGTTTTATAAGCAGGCAGAAAGTGAGCTATTTAGTTTCCGTGGTGACAAACTAAAATGAAAACCATAAAAAATCTGTTCAACCTGAATGGCCCTTACCAATAGAGTCCAGAAGCATGGTAGCAAGATAGATCGATGCTTTACAGCTGGCACAAGAACTTGAGGCAGATTTTGAACAAGTTCGGGAATTGTAAGTAGAAACAAACAGAACTGTTCAGCCACATGATGCCCTTCCCACGAAGTAGTGCCAATTGCATCAAAATTCATTAGATGAAATGGTCGTAAAGCTAAAGTTATTGCACTCACAGTAATAACAAATAAATCATTTGTCTGGATGGTACTGGTGGTCCATGAAGATTGTATAACACTCAATTTACACATGTATTTTCTGACGGATAGGTAAAGACCACTTTCAGAAGTTCCTAGATAATGAACTAAATCCTTCAATGCTGCTTCTGTATCAAAACGATTATTCTCATTTACATTCTTCCACCCATTATAATCAGTGAAGACAACTACCAAGCGCATGGCTAATGAGGTTGTAACAATAATTTCTTGCTCCTTTGCTTGCAACTTGTCGAAATGAACAAGAATAAATAAGCATACAGAAATAAGTTTCCTTGATTGGTAAGTCCATATTCTTCTTTCTTCAGATGTACCAGTGGCCAAGGAGCAAAAGTTGTTCTTTGATTCTTGACATGAAAATTGATTATAGCATGTCAAGTCCAAAATAGATGTATAGACTAAATATATATATATAACAATAAACGAAAGAGCTAAATGACGGTAGATATGAGCAAGGCAATGGAGATTTCATCCAAAATAGTATCGTACGGACTAATTCTCTTTCTCTCACATTTTTCCAATTTCCCCTCCCCAAACACTAATCAATTTTTGCAAGCTTACTAAACTCAAATTAATACTGTGAGGATTTCTGGTAGATTTTTTTTAGTACAAAAAATGCGATGTATAGAAATTTGAGCCTCTAACCTACCAGTATTTGAGGATTGAGAGGCTTCCATTTTAAATCGTGATTACTCACAAAGTCTTCCTCCAAAACCACATATGTATGTTTTCAACAAATGTGCCCAAAGGAGTCAATATGATATTTTTCCAGTTTCTTTAATTCCATGTTCTGGAGACTATCAAATCAAGTTAAGTATAGCACACAAATTACATGCCACTTTAAAGTTAAAATATATCTAGAATATAGGCATCCCAAAACCCACCATGCAATATCAGTTTGTAACTCAACTTACCAAATTAAGAAACAACTCAGCCTATTCTGCTGTTTTTTGACATGATAATAAGATTTATCAATTGGATCTTAAAACTCAGTCTAAAATGACATGCAAAAAGATGAAAAAAATAAATAAAGAGTATCGGTGAAGAAGTGGATACCGGTAGAATTGATGCTTTCAAACAAGATTGTAAAGCAATTCTTCATACAGTCTATATCTCTGGTCTGGATATTTTGGGGTCGTTTTAGAAAAGATGAGATAAAGAAGAGAAACGGTCTCAAAATATTATAGGAAATGAACGTGCCAGCCAGAGCACCAGAACGATTATTCACCAACTCCTCCCAACTTTTTTGAAGCTGCAAAGCAGCTATCTTAGTCACTCTGTAGCGCTTCCATACTCTCTGCGTCAATTAAGAAACGAGATAGTAATTTCAAACTTTGAGAACTTACCTTTGTTACCAGGAAAAGCTGCATAGATATAAAGAGTAAACATCCAACTTAATTCAATTACATAGAAATATAGGAACAATGATCAAACCCACAAACCATTCTCCATTGTCTCTACAACTTAACTATCAGTTGCTAGAACGTGCAAGATAAACTAAGAATGGCACTTGAAGACCGCTAGAAGTAAATGTAATAGACCTGAATAAAGAGAGCCGCAGCTGCAGCTTTTCTTGCATATTGACGTAGCTCTCTCTCCTGGATAACCTTCTGAACTAGAGCATCCCTCGTAATTTCTTTTGCACTCGCTCCCCTCAATGATACCTGAGAATATATCGCAAGGAATATAAAGAGCTTGGAAGTTATAGAACAGTAATTTTTTAGCCCCAAACAATAAAAACCATAGCAAACTAACCAAACCAAACCAATCCCCAAGTTCCATATTATTCCCACGCCAATTGCTCGCAAATCAGAGAACGAAAAGAAAGAGGCAGCTAATCCAAAGAAAATGTCCGGCTCAAATTAGATATAAAATGGATGTAATTTAAGCTTCTACCACGATCAGAATTTCGTTTCAATACTAACGAACGAATAACTACCGACGGAGGAGAAGATCATATAAAAGAACATATTCATGAAACAGATGAATTTGTGTATACTTTCTGGTAGCTGGTTTAAAATTCAATCCTAGAGAGGGAGGGTGAGAGAGAGAACCTGATGCTTGGAAGCTTTGTCCATGGACGTCTAACGATTGTTGGAGCCAAGCTCCAATCCACATTCGCTTCCTGTAAACGACGAGCCGCTAAAAGCTAGTTATCAACGCTTTCCAAATCCCATCCAAACCAGCTGCTGGAATTGGAATTTTCAGCGATCATAACGCGATGGATCAACAAATATCAAAGAGACTACTCTGAAATTCCTGTAGTAAAGATTTCGGATCTGATGCAGATGATGAAACATCCGTCGCAACCTTGTTTCATCGACGAGTGATCGTTCCACCGCTACGCTTAAGGCCCTTGTCCCTTCGCCGACGGCAAACAATACGCACCGGCGATATATCTCCGGTGCCGGAGGTCCAATCGTTGAAAAAAATATGTGCTTATCCAGAAAATAACAAATTGTAATAAAATAGCTTATCAACTTTACTCGCGTATTGGATTGATGTGGCGCTCTTTGTTCAATCTGATTCTCAATTTCTTTTTTTCCCCTAAATATTGACCGTCTGAAATTTATACTTCATTTAAAAAAAAAAAAAAAAAATATATATATATATATACACATTTTCAGATCTGTGATAGAAACTTTTTAAATTTAATATTAATTTAACTTTTAATGAATAATGTGTTTGAAATATATTTTTATGGTTTTCTTTAACAATTATTATTATTATTATTATTATTTAGTTTATCGTTTTCTCTCAATTTCATCGGATAAATACTTTATGGCCCAAGCCCAATACGAAGCCCAAAGTCAATAGTTGGGCCCAAAAGATTGTCAAACAATTGCAATATAAGCTACCGAGTCATGCGGTGAGATTTTGTCTCCTAGGGTTTTTCATCAACAGCGCGGCGGGAAGCTTAGTATCGCAGCGGCCATGGTTCTCAAGTTTGTCAAACTACTTCCATCTCTATTTTCATGTGTTCTTAGATCTGATGCCATATCCTCTGTTTTCGTTCTATATGTCGGCGTGTTTTTGTGATTCTGTTTTCGCATTTGTACGTGCATTGTTCATGCTCGAGAGATCTAAGGTTTTGAGCGTGTTTGAAGTGAGAAATAGGCTTTTTTTAAGTCTTCCACTTGAGAAACTTTAAATCTTTAACGAAGTTCCGTGTTTTTCTTTTTTGTGTGTTAAATACAATTACTTAAGAGGCATAATTTCGGTTGCTATTTGCAACATGTCTGTGCATTGGGTTACTGGCGTGGTTAACTGGGACCGGCATCTGTTATGTTTTAATAACCTTGTTGGAATGAAGTATTTCTGATGGAAATTTAGGAACAGGATATGTAATTTGAAGGGGAAGGTTTAGAAGATGAGTTTTTTATGTTTCTTGGATCTATTATTGTAGTTTAATGTTTGAGCAAACGGGTGTGGAATAATTGTATCATAAACGAAGTTCGAGAACTTCGAGATTCACGTGCTCAATCTTGTTCATGGGCTCTGTATGTGGGAAAAGAAGTATATGAGCTAGTAGCTTTTGAGTCGTGAATTCGTCCCCTAATAGTTTGATACTGATTTTTCAGGACTGAGCTTTGTCGATTCAGTGGGGCCAAGATATACCCAGGGAGAGGCATCAGATTCATCCGGGCCGATTCTCAGGTGATTTTGGTTACTGTATTTTAGATTATTTTGAGATAAACTGATATTTTTTTAGTTTTAACAATGATAGAAAACGTTGTAAATCCTTTCTTCTCTAATTAACCCCAACCTCTACAATGGTGCTCGGAGGTGTATTGTTTGATTTATTTGAATTATTCTCTGTTTTCTCCTTGCTTGTTTGACATTTTTGCTGTCAATCCGTTAGGTGTTTCTCTTCGCCAACTCAAAATGCAAGAGGTACTTCCACAACCGGCTGAAGCCATCAAAGCTTACCTGGACAGCCATGTATAGGAAGCAGCACAAGAAGGTAATATTAAGATTTTCTATGGACACTTTCTTTTTTTTTTTTTCTTTTTTTTTTTTTTTCACGAGGACTAGTGAGTGAATATTATCTGTAAATACCAAATACCAACTCTCACGTGGATAATGATTCTCTTCATGCAAACTTGATTCCACTGAAAATAGTTAATCTCGAAACAATCTCACAATTGGGGGATTACAAACTAGGCAGGTGTCTAGTCTACTGAAGGGGTCTAATGTGGATTTAAGTTTCACCTTAACTCATATACTGAGCTCTAGGATTAGTTTTGCAAATACAAGTCACATTACTCAACATTTAAAGCCTTACAATTAAGATTAATAACTAAATCCAAACCTAAGAGTTTACAATATGAGTTTAGTAGTAATTTAACACTGATATCAAGTGAGGCATCATGCATATGCCAATGTTTCTTTATCATTATTCTTGTTTTCTATATATATATATGTATATATATATTTTTTTTTTTAAGATTATTGGTTCACATATTTAAGATTTATGACCAAAATGATTTCTAGTCTCCATTTGCAAGTAGTCTTAAAAGTAAAGAAATCTCACTTTAAACACATAGATGAAGGTTTCTCTTTGAGTGTTGTTTTGCTGGCTTGCCGTGGGCAATTGATCTTTATCCATTTTATTTTGACATTTGCAGGATATTGCTCAAGAGGCTGTAAAAAAGAGGAGACGTGCCACCAAGAAGCCCTACTCCAGGTCCATTGTTGGTGCAACATTGGAAGTCATCCAAAAGAAGAGAGCCGAAAAGCCCGAAGTGCGTGATGCTGCTAGAGAAGCTGCTCTGCGGTTCGTCCTCTTAAGAATAAAGATTGAACTAGAATATAAATTTTGAATTTCAGCTTACCTAGAGTTTCATTGAATTGCAGTGAAATTAAGGAAAGGATTAAGAAAACCAAGGACGAAAAGAAGGCCAAGAAGGCAGAAGTGATGGCCAAGTCACAGAAGGCGCCAGGTAAGGGTAACGTTCCCAAGGGAGCTGCACCCAAGGGTCCAAAGCTGGGTGGTGGCGGTGGAAAGCGTTGATCCTTCTATTAGGTTTTGTTTTGTGATTTAAATTGCCAGATTTTGGTAGATAGGACAATCTGATAGTTTTGCGTTCTTTTTTGTGTTATGAGAAGTAATCCGTATTAATTGTTAAACTTAATGTGCACTTATTCGAGTGGTTAATTTCCAGTTTAAATTCTATATTTGAAGTCAGAAGATTGATAAGATTAGCTTCATTTTGTTACTCTTGAGTTCGGTTGGAGGCTAATTGATATAATAAGAATTAGAATGAGCAATGTTAACTTAAGATAAATTTAAATCGTTGAAAATGCATATAGATATGATGAAACGAGTCAAGGTTAATTGTTTTTGTTTAAAATTTTATATAATTGATGTTTTCCCTTATCTTATAGTTTATAAAATATTATATTTATTTTAGTTGTTATTTTCAAATTTTAAATACATTTAAAACACACTAATGGTGATTGATAGGTAATACGTGTCGATGTACATTTATTGATGGATGCAAAGCAAGCTGGTCTTGTCTTTTATTCATATATATGTGTGTATATATATATATATATATATATATATATATATATATATTATTTTTTTATTATTTTTTTTTTTGTCTAAAAATTATTTCTTTTTCCCATTTACTCTAATCTAATTTTTAATAATTTAATCTTTACTTTGATTTTTGTAACAGTTTTTGAACTTTAATATAAAATAATTAAATTTTACTATGATTTAGCAATTTAGTTTTTCAACTTTAATATAAAATAATTAATTTTTACTATGATTGAGTTAAAATACTTCCATTTGCAATGATTGAGTTTCTTATCCTTAAAATTATTACTAAAGTTTAATGAGAAATTTTAATTTAGGTCAATAAATTAGAGGATCTAATGCTTATCTCTCCTTAAAAGATGACTATCGATTGAGGATGTGTGTTATCGCTGTCGACTATGCATGGAAACTCATATTCGGTGTTGCCGCCCGTCAAATTGGCTACTTCAAGTTACGGGGGTGAGAATCAATGTCGGTGGTGGAAGAATTTTCAATCAAGTCATTTCTTCAACCACCGCTTGGTCAAGTCTTTCAGCCTTTGGCTCTAGTCAGTGAAGCTTTTTCGGTCACCTACGATGTTCAACACGGCCGAAGTTGAATCCACATTAATTTTTCTTATAATATTGTATTTTCTCCCAACAATCCTCAACCGAGTCGCCTCTTTTCCATCAAACAAATTTTACTACATATGTTGCACCATGCTCAAGTGTGTACTGGTGCAAAAACATATTTCTTGGTCTAACAATCGACATAAAATCAAAATGTAGCATAATTTAATAGTAACTTATGAGCACGTTTTCGACTTCATCCTCTTCTTCACATTAAAACATTTTTATATCTTCCGAAAATTATGGAAAAATATGTTTCAAACTTAAAAATAGAGCTAAAATATGAACATTTATCCTTAAAATCATCAAAGCTCATCCAAACCCTAATCATTAAACAGATCAGTCGATGAACACAAACACATAAATTAAATTTATTAAACTGGGATCTCATTGAATCAGCACAGAAAGTTCAGATCATATAACCTCAACTCTTTCTCGATAATTTTTTTTTCATTAAATTCTCCATTTTTTTTCCCTTAATATATAAAATAAAAAACACAGATTTGAGGTGGTATGATCTGAACTGTCCAAACAAATCCCAAGACCCAGATATTAGAAACTGTCAAATTTCAACACTATTCTCTAAAAAAACCCTAATTTAACCTCTCACTTCACAATCTTACTTTTTCATGAAATTAAAAAAAAAAAAAAAAACAAAAAAACCAAAGCAAACAAGTTTACTGGGGATGATAAGAGGATGGGAGAGTCCCCCAGAAGGTTGGAGACATGGGGTTGTACTCCTCAGTGTTGAACACATAGTTGCACTGCTCCGGTGGCGTCGGGTATTGGTTCGCTGCTGCTTCTGCCACCGCCGCCGCACTCGGCTTGCTTGAGCAGCCAGCTCCGACCGAGGTGCTCTCCACCGTCTCCTCCCCCGACAATTCAGTGTACACCGTCGACACTTGGTTCCTCGCAGTTTGAAGCTCTCTCAGCATGCTTTTCAGTTTCATTACCTGCCAGGGTTAAAAGACGATATTCATCTTTTCTACATCCGAACGGTTCAAAACTGCCAACCACATTGACTAAAAAAGCACCGAACTTTCTATTTCAAATGCAATGAATTTGTGTAAAAACGAACGATTTATGAGATATACTCGAGATCGAACCAAGTATAGATAAACCCTAATTCAATTCTCTAAAGCTGAAGTACTTTTGATGATTAAAATGCACTTATTAATGATTTATGAGATACATTACAAGTAAATTTGTTACAAAAAGCTCATAATTTTCTTGAATCAACCCTACTCTATTAAAAAAAAAACCCATAATTTAGTTCACTATTAAGTTGAGATCTTAAAAAGATCTGATTTTTTTTTTTTTAAAACTTCATAGATCAAGGGAAAAAAAGCATACCTCCTCTTGAAGCTTATGTTTCTCTCTAGAAATGGCATCGAACTCTTGTTTGAGAGTGTCGTAGAGATGCTCGAGTTGCTTTGCCTTCCACCTCGCACGGCGGTTCTGGAACCAAACAGCGATCTGGCGTGGCTGCAGACCGAGCTCCTTGGCCAGCTTCTGCTTCCGGTCGGGATCGAGCTTGATCTCCTCCTGGAAGCTTTGTTCGAGTGAGTCGAGCTGCTCGCTGCTCAGCCGCTTCTTCTTCTCCAAATTTCCATAGCTGTTCATGTCCATCCCTGGAACCAGCCCTTGCAGCACCGTCTCCGACGCCCCCGCCATCGCTGAATGCTTCACATCTATGCCTGCTCATGGAAGCAAAACCCCAGAGACAAGATTAACAAAACCCTACAAATCTTTCAACTATTTTATATAATTAATTATATCCTCCATGGATCTGCAAGAGAATCATGTTCGAAAAACATGAAACATTCATTAAAAAAACCACCTCCGTTTCAGATCTTCGATTATCCGTTTGTTTAGTGACAGTTACTTGTCGGAAAAAACACACACACACACACACAAAAGAACAATTTTTTTTTAAAAAAAAACACCTAAAAAAGTGGAAAGATCAGATTTTTCTGATCTGGGTGTCATTATTTTTAAGTTTATAACCACTAGAACAAATCAAATAAACAAAACAACAAATTCATTAAATAAAAAAATAAAAAAAAAAAACCCTCAAGAACATTGAATATTACCCTGATATTGTTCAAGATTATAGTTATAGAGAAACCCAAATGAAGATTCCGGCGCTCGAGAAACAAAGGGTCTGAAACTTCCGGTGGCCCACTCCATGTTTTCCAGTCTCCGGTGAAATTTTCCGATCAGATTAGCTTCGAATGTGGAAGATGGAAGTGAGGGTTTTGAGTGGGAATTGAAGCTACAAATAGAGAGAGAAACAGAGAGAGGAGAGAGAAAGTGAAATTTAGGGCAATTGAAAATTAGGGCTACAAATGAGGGTGAGAGTCAGCATTGTTGAAAAGTGTTCATATCCCTTTGCTCTCTACTGTTTATCACTTTTCTTTTTTCTTAGCTCCTCTCTATTTTTCTATATATATATAAATAAATGCTAGTACAAATTTTTTTATATCTTATCCACCAACTTGGAAACACTTAAAAAGAGAGAGAAAGCAAAGAAAAACGATCAAATACCGTGTAGAACGACGTAACTATTATCTTTAAAATCATCGTTTTATCGTCACGAATTAAAGCTTTGATTTTTACGATGTATAATCATACACTATATTATTTCAGTCTCTTCAAAAAAAACATAAATTTTGAAAAATATTATATTTTCGAATGTTCGGTGTGTGTGACCGTGAATTATATTGTTTTAATTTCATTAAATAAATTTTTTTTAGAGGGATAATGTATTAGGTATAATTGGGATGTATAGTGTATTATATGTACTTAATTAAGAGTATTTGGATAAAGTTGAAAAGCTATATCTTAGTGACATAATACAATTAATTAAACTAAGTAATCTGTATTATATATTTTGACATGAGTTTTAATTAACTTCATTATTATTCCCCTTTTTTTTATTTATTATTATTATTATTTTTTTTTTTTGTATAGGTGGACCATAATTATTAATGTCAACTTTATGAGTATGCAAAGGGAAACGTGGTTTATGTAATAATTAGTGTGTGATTAATTTTTTATTTTCAAATATTCTAAATTCACTTTTTAAAAAAAAAACAATTATTTAGTGATTTTATATTTTAAAAACATTTTTTAAGAATTAATAAATTTTGTTTTTTTTTTCTTATGGAATAATTTAATCGAGTTTTATTAATTTTCCTTTAATTTTTATAACCAAATTAAAATAATTTAAGCTTTTTTTTATTTTTATAATTAATACTTAAGGCCCCACCAAAGTAAAAAAGGCTAGATGATTAAGGGTAGATTGATAATCATAATTAATTGATAATCTCTCCCCTCTTAAATATTTATTTATTCATTTTAAAATATATTTTTATTATTTTTTTGACCCACTAATTAATTATTTTAAAATATATATTAATTAGTTAATTTTAATGATAAAATTAGTGTAAGTGGACCCAAAATTAGCAAATCTGTTTGACTTTGTTCTTAGCCTAATACTAAATCATCCCTTTTAAAACTAAAGTCAAATGGATTTGGTAATTTGTTTAGTTTTATAATAATACAGGATTTTTAAAAATCCTCTCAAGGTTGGGCCATTAAATAATTTTCTTAATTAATCTATAATTATTTCATAAATTAATTAATGACTATTTTTTTATTAGGTTTCAAATAATGCTTAAATATAAATTATTTATAAACTCAATTTGATTAAGATATATATTTTCCTTCAAAATGTCAGAGGTTTAAATTATATATTTATTATTTATTTATTTACTTACTTTTTGAGTTCGAGCGACAAAAAATTAATTTGAATTCAATGGAGACACACTCATAACTACCGGTTGTGGGAGAAACCATTGCATTTAAATCGTCACGGATGGATATTTTAAATATATTTAAATTAATATAAATTTTAAAAAATCGATAAATTAGATTAAAAAATCAACTCGAATATAGTTGAATTGAATCAAAATTAATAAAAATATATATGGTTGAAATAAATAAAGAGATGAATTTACATAAATGTACATTTGTTGTTGGAGTTAGAAATAGTGTTGAGGTGAAAGTTTTGAATTTTCATTCAAAGCTGAGTCTGCTATTTACTAAGGGAGAAACAGATTTTGAAGTCTTGAAGTGGGCAATAACCTAATAATGGAGTTCACCATTTATGTACTTTTTTCAACGATCAACCCACTTTCATCAATTCTCGAGCCCGTAAATAAAAAGTAGACGTAGATCTAAACGTGTAACGCTCGAAATAGGCAAAAAATAGTCCGTTTAAGCAAAAATAATTGGTTAAGACGTGTGTCTTCAGCATAGAGATCGAGTATCTGGATTCCTCATTTTCTGTAAAACTTAAAAAAACTGATTATAAATGTAACAACCTAAGCTCAATATTATCTGATATTGTCCGTTTTGGCCCATTAATTATCGTCGTCGGCCTCACGGTCTTAAAACACGTATGTTAGAGAGAAGTTTCTCTACCCGTATAGAGTAAAATGATAATGAGTTAATAACGTTTTGTTAAGCTTATAAACATTATTTTCCAAAATTAAAATAATAGTTTCTAAAACAACTTCGATTTGTCTTTCAATATTCGTGTTGGACATAATCGTCCTTCTCTTTAGTCATATTTAAAAAGAACACGAGTCATCCTAAAAACTATTAACGTTTAATAATGACACAAATTTATAAACCACATAACTTACATTTTTTTTTGTAAAAAGTTTATAAATTAAAATAAAAAAACATTTAAAAAATAAAATAAATTGGGTATGAAAGTACATGGATAAAAACAAAGTTTTTTTTTTTTTTTTTTTTTTATTGTTTACATGAATAAAAAAATTAACTAATATTAAAATTTATTTTTAATATATATATATATTAAGAGACAGTTACAAGTGAATAAGTATTGTATGTATTTATGAGGGATAAGTATAGGGTATTTCTTCAATTTGGTGTCGGAAAAATAAATAATAACAATAAAAGGTTTTTAATTAATTAATTTTACAGTGGAAAATAAAATATGAACAGCTAACAACACGATAGAGACAACACAAAGCAACTACCCAATTTTATGTATTTTTATTTTTTATTATTTTATTTTTTTTGGGAAAATATATGTTTGTTTGTTATTGTCCCTTCCAGTGTGTTTTTCGATTTTGTTTGTATTAGTTAAAAAAAAAAAAAAAAAGATTTTAACTTTTTTCGTGATATTTTAATATTTTTTTAATTATATTATTAAATACGGTTTTTTCCGACCTACTTTTTTTTAAGTTTCAAAATATAGTTTGAATTTTAAAAAAAATTCTAATTTTAAGTTTGTGGGATCTTACATTAGTTAGAGAGGAGAACGAAGCATTTTAGGTGTAGAAACCTCTCCCTAGTATATACATTTTAAAATCGTGAGATTGACGACGATATATAATGAGTCAAAGTAGACAATATCTACTATTGATGGGTTTTGGATGTTACAAATTGTATCAGAGCTAGACACCATACGGTATGCCAACAAAGACGCTGGCCCCGAATGATGGTAGATTGTAAGATCCTACGTTAGTTGGAAAGAAGAACAAAACATTAGTGTAGAAACCTCTCTCTAGTAGATGCATTTTAAAAGACGATACGTAACGGGTTAAAACAAAAAATATCTACTAGGAATAGGTTTGAGTTTTTACCGTAAGAGTGACGAGTAACGAGTGTTTCACATTTTAAAAGCATATATTATAAACCAACCACTAATTAGGAATGGGTAAGGATTTGAATGAGAAGAAGGCAAAAATGTGCAGACATAGCCGTGCCTAATGCCTACAAACTTTATAACCTAAAGATTCACATTGCAAAATCAATACATATAATAATAATATTAATATTACATTTCAGCCTGCCTGGTCCCAGCGATGGGGTTGGTGAAATTAATTTATATCCCAACCCCCCCTATTCTTCATATTTACACGCAACCCCCTCTCAAATTAAATATTTTCTTTCTATTTTCATATTTATTTTCTCTATTTTTAATTTTACGTTCCAATGAAAATTCTGAATTTTCTATATTTTAATTACTGTACGATTATGATTGGAAGAGTAAATTCTAATTTAAATTCGTTAAATATTTCATAAATGGGCTGTTTGGAATAATAATGTGAAACTTTTAAAAGGGCTGTCTTTTATTTATTTTTAATTTCACTAGGTGTTTATTTGTACCACAACTACCCACTTTGGGTAGATTGCTTTTTTTTGAAAAAAATAAAAAAGATCTTAGCACAAATTCTCAAATTTTTAGAAAATTGTTAGAAACGAGTAAAATTAAATAATTTAATCAATTTGAATATAGCTCAACTAATTAATATTAATTTACCAATATCTTATAAAATTGTTCGGGGCATTTGAAATATTCTTCTCTAAAAAAACATGAGACCAAAAGCTTTAATAAAAGTATTAAATACTAAATGGAAAAATGTCGCAAACATTATTCTAAGTTGTTGTGTGTCTGAAAACGCAGCAAAAAGGACAATGCAGTGACTGCAATTGTCTGCGCAGTACTTCAGACAAACAACTTTGCTTAGGATTTCTTCAACTTTGTTTTCTTATTTTTCAAGTATTTCATCATTTGTAAAGCTATTTATCAATGTGGGCGGTTAGGTTTGACATGTTTCGAGCTTTTAATTTTGGAACGAGTTGATTTGGTGTTTCGAATTGGATCGATCTATGTTGAGCTTGTTTGCTTGTATTGATGTTTGAGTACTTTGTACATTTCTCTTTATTTTTCGTCTATCCATTTGTAGCATTCATACACACCGTGTCATGTGCGATATGTTACGTTTTAGGTTAAGTTGTTTTCATTTAAATCATGGGGAAAAGAAAAGACGAGGATGGGAGAATGACTAGATTACTCGTAGCGAGAGTTGGATTTTTGTAATGTATGAGAAGAAGATAGATTAACATGTGACATACTAGACAATTTGACGACTGATGAAATAAAATTGAATCGGGATCTAATCAATGGATTGCCAATCTTCTAGAGTAGGGGCAGGGCAGCATATAAAATATCAAACCCGCCGCTAGCAGATATTGTCTGTTTTGCCCCGTTACGTATCGTAATCAGCCTTACAGTTTTAAAACATGACTGCCGAGGAAAGGTAGGAAAGGTTTCCACACTCTTATAAGGAATGTTGTGTTTCTCTCTCCAACTGATGTGAGATCTCACAAGGAATGTTGTGTTTCCCTCTCCAATTGATGTGAGATCTCACAATCCACCCTTTTTGGAAGTCAGCATCCTCGTTAGCAGATCGGTAGGCGTCTGACTCTAATACCATTTGTAATACCTCAAGCTCACCGCTAGCAGATATTGTCTGCACTGTTTTAATACCATTTGTAGCCCTACTCTAATTAGTATC